TAAAAGAGGTTTCCGTGAACACTCATTATCCAAACATTATTGGGATTTCCACCAAAGAAATCTATCATCCCTTAAATTCGTAGGGATTGATATTGCACAACATCATTGGCGTGGCTCTAATAGATGTAGGCAAGTCTCATGTTTAGAAACCAAGTGGATTTTTGAAATCAAGACTATGACCCCTTTAGGCCACAATGTTGAAGTAGATATAAATTGTTTCATTGATAACAGTTGATATTCATCATTACATATATCCTTATACCTGACAGAATGATTATTATTATTATTAGGAATACCAATACTGAACCTGTACAGTTAATGATGGCGTATTGTTTTTAATATTTCATTTTATGCATTTCAGTTTATATTGTATAATTTACATTTTACAGTCTACATTTCACATTTTATTTTTTATGTGATAATATCCCATTATACTTTTTAATATATATTTTTTTAATATATTTTTTAATATTCCACCATATTATTGCGTTTCTTATGTATACCGGTTATTATAACCTCTTATAGCCCAATGAGAATATTATCAAATCGATACATTTATGATTGATGAATTGGGCACAATAATCATTGTACCTTCACCAGATAAGAATAATGTTAACCGCTCACACATACATACTGTGCCCTTTTAATTATATATCCTTCTGTATATCTTATACTTCTTATGGCATTAAGCAATCTGATCTATCTCTAATATATATATTTTTTGTCCATTTTTGCACTATATTATTTAGCTTTGATATACAATCTTTTATATATGATTTGATCACCAGTAAAATGGCGACCACAATACTCGCTCATGCGCAGTAAAGTGCGGGTCTTTTTTAAGTGTTTACACATTTTTTATATATATAGTGTGCCCTTCTTAATTATATATTTCTCTGTATATTTTATACTCCGCATAGCATTAAGCAACCTGATCTATCTCTAACATATAGTTTTTTGTCCATCTTTGCACTTTATCATTCAGCCTTAATAAACAACTTCTTGTATAGGATCTGATCACCAGTAAAATGGCGACCGCGATACTCGCGCACGCACACGCGCAGTAAAGTGCGGGTCTCCATGTCATCTAACCGATAAAATGGCGACCAGAACACTCGCGGTTCAATGCGCACCTGTCATATCTAATATCCACAAGAACATGGCACCCGCGCATGCGCAATGAGCTGAACTTCGGCAAGATGGCGCCCGCACAGTTGCGCGCGCCTTTACACTGAAGTCAGGATATATAATTTTGGACTGTTCGCCTATATTATAGTATACCACATTGGACTCTTTATTTATATTTATAATACTTGCATAAGATTCTTATCTTATTGGTTACTATTTATTTTAGCGCTGCACTTTGTTTTACATTTGCTTATTCTAGAAAGGTTTTTGTGGTTCCTTTTGGTGCATATAGCTGCTTTGGAGTGCGCTCGCTAGGCTGCACACATATACTTTCTGTGGGTATGATGAACACAATGATGGAGTGAAGCAAGCTGTCCTAGGATGGTCCAGGCGTACTGACAAATCTTTCAATGCCGAAGCTTTTCCAGGCATTAATTAAACAGTGGGATAAATGTATAAATGTAGCAGGGGAGTATGTAGAAAAATAATGGCAGCTATACTCCTTGAAATTTGTTCTTTTATTATGTAAACTCAAAAGTCCTGGTTTGACTTGAAAGCCCTTTGTAGCTGAATAAAACAGCAAGTTCAGTTGTGCTTTAACGGGATACTTAGGGCTTGTTTTTATTTTCATTATGGTGGGCTGCATACTGAACATTTGTTACCTTTATATATAGAATGCATGAAGGTAAAAGACAACAACAGCCTTTACAACTACTTTAGGTCCTAGTTTACGACTTTCATGTTCTGCCAGTGATTTATTTAGCGTGTACTTTAAAAGTGGAAATACATTCTCTCAATCAACATGAACTATTTTCAACCCTTATCTGCTAGCCTTAATAAATACATAGGAAGGTGTATTATATTTACTTGTTTTAAACTTTTTTTCTACATTTCTTAAAGCGGTAGTAAACTGCAGATAAAAGTAAAAATCCCCTGCAAGGTAATGGCATAATGTGCTAATATGTATCGTATACTAGCACATTATGTAGGACTTACCTTAAAACTGTCACCAGTGAAGGGGCTTCCATCTTCACCGGTCTTCGGTTTGTGAGCTCCAGCCATCTGACTGGGCGAGCTGCAATGATGTCACTCCCACCCATGCGCAAGAGAGTCTTGGGACGCGGCACAGTGTTCTGAAGGAACGGCATGGGTATGCCGTTCCTTCAGAGCGCATGCGCTGGCTGTAAAAAAAAGAGCGAATATCTCCTAAACAGTGCACGATTAGGAGATATTCATTTTACCTACAGGTACAGATTACCTGTAGGTACAAGATACAAAAGTGGGTTTACTTCCACTTTAAGTTGCTTCCTGGTTTCTGGAAAAGGCCAACATGATGTAATTCATCCCAGGAGCCTTCATTTGGAGGAGGGGCAGAGGGGTTTACTGAAATAGGCACACCCTCTTGCCTGCATGCCTGAGCTAAGGGCAAATGGATTCCAGGGAGTACATGATACATAAATCATATACACTTACTCAAAATGTCCGTGAATTGCAATGCTAGGAGGTGTTTTTCAAAGTGAGTTCTCAACAAAATAAAGTATGGAGACATGGATGGATGGGTGAGTTTGCTTTGAATATTACACATTTATTAAATAGCTTTTTTAGTTTGTGGTGCTCAGATGCAGTTTAGTTGAAGTTTAATCTTCTATAGTCAGTTATACTACTCATTTTTCTTTCCTATATTTCATGTTACTTTACTGTTCTATGTCCTGATCCCTCTTACTTTTTTAAATTTTGCTGTTTGCCATTTGTGACCTGTAAGCATCCACTCCTTCTCCATGTAAACTTCCATGGTTGCAGAAGAAGTCACTAGCCTGATTATCATGCAGGGAATGCTAGCCATATATGATCAATACATCATAGATTCACACAGTTCACAGTTTTGCTTCCAAACAATTAACTTTAAAAAAAAAAAAAAAACAGCTTACTAAAGTTCAACTGGATTTTAGGACCCATCAGTCATTTTCAATGACAACAATTATTCATTGATTGAACCACCCCATATATATATGTATTTTTTTTTAGAACTATATCATTCATCCACTGAAACAATCATGATGTCATGGAAATGACAAAAGCACAAATTACTTTAAAATAGAGTATCTAGCTAAATAACATGTATAAGCGCATTGGATGTGTCTATGACTATATTCTGGGTAGTGAAGAGGTGGGGTGTTACTTTAAATAATGACATGCCTTTGGACAGGGTATCATTACTTGCATTCTTTGGAATAACTATTTATAATTATACATAGCACTAGCAAAGTAAAGAGTGAGCTTGGCGCTATAATATCCTCTGGCATGCCTGGCAATTTTTTTTTCAGCCCGCCCCAGCTTGATTGAAAGAATTGGCTCTTTTTCCATTATCCGCAGCATGCCTGACAAGCCTCTACGCTGTATAGTTACCACAAAATTAAACAGAATCCTTTGAGAGAGGAATGGACAGAGCTTAAATAAATGGACATTCCAAAAAATCAATACACAGCAACTGTTTGTTGGCTCAGACAATGTCCTATTACTTTGACTATGCAGCTAAAATATAGAACTGTGCTGCATCTTCAATTACATTGCCTCGGCAGACTGCTCATAATTATATAGATCACAGAAGAAGCTCTCCTTTTGGTAACAACTCTGAATTTTCCAAGTTTTTTGCTTTTCATTCTTGTCTGTTGGCTCATCATTGGCTGGATGTGAGCATTGGGTCTATTGTAAAAAAAAAAAGTAAAATAAAAGTAAAAAGTGAAGTAAAAGTAAAAATGGTGAAATGTGTTGCTCTTAGCATCTACCCCACTACCTGAAAATAATATAAACAACTGTTTAGAATAATAAATTATAATTAACTTGAGCTCCAGAATGTTGTACCCCTTTCAGGTGTTTTTTTTTTGCTATTCAACACTGCGCTACTTTAACTGGCAGTTGTGCAGTCATGCAACACTGTAAGCAAATACAATTTATATAATTATTTTTACACAAATAGAGCTTTATTTTGGTGGCATTTGATCACCACTGTGTTTTTAATTTTTTGCTATATAAACCGAAACGTTTGAAAAAAGAATATATTTTCTATTTTTATAATATATATCTAATAAAGTCAAATTTTCACATAAATGTAGGCCAAAATGTATTTTGTTACATATCTTCGGAAAAATAAAATCCAATAAGTGTATATTAACCACTTCAGCTTCAAAAGGGTTTCCCACCTCTCCTGACCAGGGCATTTTTTGCTATTCAGCACTGCGCTATTTCAACTGGTAATTGTGTGGTCATGCAATGCTGTACTCAAATTAAATTTGTCCTTTTTTCATACTAATAGAGCTTTCTATTGGTGGCATTTGATCACCAATGTTTTTTTTTTAGGTTTTGTGATATAAACACAAAAAAGACCAAAAATTTTGAAAAAAGAACAATATTTTTTATTTTCGATTATATAAAAAATATCCAATAAACTCAAAGTTAGTCATAAATTTAGGCCAAATGTATTTTGCTGCATGTTTTTGGAAAAAATCCTAATATGTGTATATTAATTGGTTTGTGTGAAAGTTATAGCGTCTATAAACTTTGGTATAAACAGCGTGTAAAATAAGTATTGAACACGTCACCATTTTTCTCAGTAAATATATTTCTAAAGGTGCTATTGACATGACATTTTTACCACATGTTGGTAACAACTCATGCAATCCATTCATATAAAGAAACCAAAATATATATAAGTTCAGAAATTGTTATGTGTAATAAAATGGAATGACACAGGGAAAAAGTATTGAACACATGAAGAAAGGGAGGTGCAAAAAGTCATAGAAAGCCAAGACACCAGCTGAATTTATTAGTAATTATCAAGAAATCCTTCCCCTTGTCAGTGCACATTAATATCAACTGGTTTAGTCTGAACTGATGGGCTATAAAAAGGTGTCTTATTACCAAGGTGTCACAAAAGAAACATCTCATGATGAGGAAAAGCAAAGAGCTCTCTCGATACCTTCACAACTTTATTGTTACAAAACATACTGATGCCATTGGATACAGAAGGATTTCTAATCTTAAAAATGCTCCAGTGAGCACTGTTCAGGCCATAATCTGGAAGTGGAAAGAACATCATTTCACCATAAGCTGGCCACGACCAGGTGCTCCTCGCACGATTTCTGACAGAAGGGTGAAAATAATTTTCAGAAGAGTTGTTCAAGAGCCAAGGACCACTTGTGGAGAGCTTAAGAAAGACCTGGAATTACCAGGTACAATTGTTTCAGAGAAAACAATAAGTAATGCACTCAACCGCAATGGCCTGTATGCACTCTCACCACGCAAGACTTGATTGCTGAAGAAAAAGCATGTTGAAGCCTGTTTAAACTTTGCTGCATAATATTTAGACAAGCCTGTGAAATACTGGGAGAATATAGTCTGGTTACATGTGACCACAATTGAACTTTTTGGATGCCATAATACAGACCATGTTTGGAGGTCAAATGGCACTGCACATCACCCCAAAACACCATACCAACAGTGAAGTTTGAAGGGGAACATTGTGTTGTGTGGCTGTTTTTCAGCATACAGTACTGATAAACTTCATGTCATTGAAGGAAAAATGAATAGAAAAATATGCCAAGACATTAAAATCTGCTGCCATCTACCAGGATGATGAAGATGAAACAAAGATGGACATTTCAGCAAGACAATGATCTCAAACACAAAGCCAAGGAAACTCTCAATTGGTGTCAAAGAAAGAAAGTAAAGCTGCTAGAATGGCCCAGCCAATCACCTGACTTGAATCTGATCAAAAATCAATGGAAAGAACTAAAGATCAGAATTCATAGAAGAAGCCCACAGAACCTTCAAGATTTGAAGACTGTTTGTGTGGAAGAATGGGCCAAAATCACACCTGAGCAATGCATGTGTCTAGTTTCTACATATAGGCGGCATCTTGAAGCTGTCATTACCAACAAAGGATTTTTGCAAAGTATTAAATAACTTTTATTTAGCGTGTGCAATACTTTTTCCCTGTGTCATTCCATTTTATTATGGATAACTTAATTTTTGAATGTATTTGTTTTGGTTTCTTTTTGGAAAGTAGACATCCCAAGGGATTTGCTGAGAGGTATGTTGAGTCCATGGAAGATTTTATTTTTTGCTTCACATTTTGGGAAAATGAAATTTTTTTCTACGCTGGGTTGTCAATTAAATGATATATTGCTCACGCATGTCATGGATATATGTGGAATAACACCCCAAAACACATTCTGCTACTTCTCCCAAGTATGGGGATACCACATATGAGGGACTTTTTGGCAGCCTAGCTACATGCAGGCCTCCACTATCCAAGCCTTTAGGCTTTCTTAGGGAATATTTCCTCATATCTCTTCCTAACCACCTATTACAATTTCGGAGGCCCTAAAATGCCAGAATTGTGCAAACATCCCCCCAAATGACTCCTTTTTGGAAAGTAGACACCCCAAGGAGTTTGATAAGAGGCATGATGAGTTTTTTTCTGATATTTTTTGCACAGAGTTTTGAAAAAGAAAAGAATAAATACAATTTTGTTTTCTTTCTTCATTTTCCAAAAATACTAGAAGCTTATGCCACACATCACCCATTATTTCAACCACTTGAAGACCAAGCCTTTTCTGACACTTTTGTTTACATGAAAAAAACAGTTTTTTTTACTAAAAAAGTACTTTTATATATTATAAAGAAGAGGCCCTAGAGAATAAATGGTGGGTGTTGCAATTTATGTCGCACAATATTTGCACAGCGATTTTTCAAAGGCAGATTTTTTTGGGAAATAGTACACTTGTTTGAATTTAATGCAAACAATATATTTCCCAATTGTATGATAAAATATAAAAGATGATGTGACATTAAGTAAATAGATACTAAACATGACATGCTTTAAAATATATGTACACATGCACAAACGTAAAAGCACACGCTGGGGCGCCTACACACGAAAACGTTGATTGCGATACACGTTACATATTGCCGCGCACGCCAGAATGAGAGCAATAATTCTAGCACCAGACTTCCTCCGTAACGCTAAACTGATGACCTGTAAGGTGCTTTAAAAGTGCCACCTATAGAAAATATAGGGTACTAAAGTTTGTTGCCATTTCACGAGTGCACAGAAATTTAAGGTTTGACATGTTGGACATCTATTTACTCGATGCAACTTCGTCTTTTATATTTGACAAAAAATTGGATAATTTATTGTTTTTTGTGCCCTAAAATTAATTTAAGTGTATTTTTTACTGAAACTTTGTGATAATATTGTGTGCAAAAAGCACAAAAACAGCTCTAGCAGCGAAAGGGATAAAGGATAAGCCCGACACTCCCCTTTCCTGACGAGCAGCCAATCGGTGCTCATTACACTGCAAGGTCTCTCTCCTCCCAACTAGTGCCTGGATGCGGTGCTGGAGACAGGCAGGGAGGGGAGGAGGAGATAAACAACGCCATGTTAAAAATATTAAACGTTTAAGTTACCATAAAGCCCTCTTTGTTTTTAAAAGCCCCAGACATTACTTAAAGCAGATTTAAATACGTTTTGGGTTAAAATGTATGTTTTTTTATCAGGACAAATAGATTGTCATGCGGGACAAGCAGATTCGGACACTGATTTAGTCCCTGAACAAGTAGTTTTTTAAAAATTTCCATACCCCTGTGATCAGCGTGAGTGCGATAGTGTGTGGGCAATCTAACACTAGCTAACCCTGGCTGGGAGGGGGCGCTAACTGACCCTGATGCTATTTGATATCGCTAGTTGCAGTAATATAGTGAACAGTGGAAAATTCTATATACTGACACTGTACTAATGGTACTGGCTGGGTGACGGGGTGATCAAATGGTTAATAGAGGCTATCAAAGGGTTAAATGTGCTAATCTAACGTGTGTGTAAAATGTAGTACTTTTACTCACCGTGTGGTCTTCTTTCTTCTCTCTCTGGACCGATGGGGGGGGGGGGGGGGCAGTGGACCAGGAAGAGTAGCAAAGTTGCTATGAATCAGATTGATTCATAACAGCTTTGCTAACATTGTGATCCTGTGATCGCATAGCGATCTCATGATCACCAGGTCCTGATTACCAGAATCTGCATTCCGTTGTGTCTGGTACATCGCTGTGCCTGTAGCTGCCGCCTGCCCGCATTGTTCTGGGAAGTGGACAGATTGGAAGTGGTTAATTCGTTTTTGTAAAAGTTATAGGTTTACAATCTATGGTATATATATTTGAAAATTGATTGTTCCTGATGTAGAGACAGCCTATCTTATTTCTTGAGGCCCTAAAATGCCAGGACAGTACAATTACCACGCAAATGGAAAGTAGTCTGAGGCATTTACTAAGAGGCATGGTGAGTTTTTTGAAGTTGTAATTTTTTGGAAAATTAAGAAATTAGACAAAATTTAAAAAACATTTTTTTTTACATAGTATCAGTGTAGTACATTTGATGAAATTGTTTTTATTCACTTTTTTTTTACATTTTAGAACGTTCTTAAACTTTTTTTTTTACATCCTAACATCAAATCAGAGTAGTTCATTTTTACCATAATGACACTGTACTACTTTGGTGGGATGGTCAGGATTTTTTTTTTTTATACTGTTACTGCTTATACAGGGATGATCACTGTATAAGCAAAAGCTTTGGATGTCATGAATGGGTTTCCCATTCATGAACAGCTTGCTTTTGATTTATGATCTGTGATTCGCTAATCTAATCACATGGTACAGGTAGCCAGGTACCATGTGATTGCTTTGGGCCAATTAAAGATCACAACAGTAAGCAAGCTGTTCATGAATGATTAAATGAAGCAGATACTGCTCCTAATTAATGAAGGGGCGCACACTCTTTTGTTTATTAGGCATGGTTAGGCCAGTTACAGATATGGAAGAACAGAGAACTTCTTCCGTATCTGTAACAGGCAGCACAGAGAACACTCTGATCTCTGCTGCCTCCACCGTTTTGCTGCTATGCTCTGAATACCCTGTGATTTGAAGTCCTGCTGATCATTTTATCCAAAAAAACACACAGGGGAAATTAAAGTGAAGGATCAAATAACAAACATGTTATACTTATCTTTTCTTTGCAATGGTTTTGCACAGAGCAGTCTTGGTCCTTCTCTTTTCGGGTACTTCCAGCGTCTCTGGCTCTTTTCCCCCCGCAAATGCCCCCCTAGCAAGACAATTCCCATGGGGGAACTCACTACTGAGCTGCCCTAGGAAGACAATTCCCATGTGGGCACTCACTACCGAGCCAGGCTGTTTGCATCTATTCAGACACACAGCCAAACTCCTCCACCCTGCCCCCGTTCTCTGTTGACAGGTTTTGACTGACAGCAGCAGGAGCCAATGGCTCTCAGCCAAGCCTCTGAAGTCGGGAGAGGGGAGAAGACCTGCTTCAGAGTGCACAGCACTGGACCAAGATTGGGCTCATGTGAGTATTTAGAGGTGGCTGTGGAAGGAGCTGTACTTTAAAGGTTTTTTTACCTTAAAGCGGAGTTCCACCCATTTTTTTTAATACTTATTATGTAGTCCCTGTGAAATAAAGCACAAGTTGGATATTTTTTTTTATACGTACCTTTTAATCCACTGCAAGCCTGCAGTTCCAGTTCCGACCGCCTAGGCAATGACGTTGTAAGTCGATGTGCAAGGTCTCCTGGGATGTCGTTTCCTGTATCCCAGGAGTCCTTTGGTTTCCTGTAATCATGGGACTTGGAAACCGGAAATGACGTAGATGGGGAGGTGTTTCAACCATTGTTATGGCAACTTGTACTGCACACGTCACGCCGAGCAGTGTCTGTACTGCGCATGCATGAGAACGAGTGGTGCATGCTGGGATAGCCAGCAGCACGATTCCAGAAAATAAATACCTGCTGGCTTCAGATGCCCACAGCCATCATGGTGCCTGCCTGCTT